TCTCATATTCCTGACCTCGTGATCCGCCCGCCTTGGCCTCCCAAAGCCTGAGATAAAAGGCGTGAGCCACTGCGCCCGGCCATATCTGTATTATTTCTTTTAAGCCTACCAACCCCTTTATTTAGCCACGATTATTACCCCCATTTTAAAGATAAAAAAAAATTGAGGTTTTGAGTGGCAAAGTACTTGGGGAGCTCTTGATTATCTCCTTAGAATGTGATTCAGCTTTCATAGTCCACACGCCACTCCCCTGCCCAGAGTTGGATGGGCTCCCTGCCTACCACCCAAAGCCCAGTGTACAGTATGGCTCTGAAAACCCCACCCTACCGCTCTGATAAAGGCCTCCTGGAGCTGGACTGCCCAGCAGGCAGACTGAATGCATGCAAGAGTTGGGTACCTGAACTTTCCAAGAAGCATATGGATTGCCAGGCATGGTGGCTCATGAATGTAATCCCAGCACTTTGGGAGGCTGAAGTAGGTGGATCGATTGTTCTCAGGAGTTCAAGACCAGTCTGTCTCTACTAAAAATACAAAAATTACCTGGGCCTGGAGGCATGTGCCTGTAGTCCCAGCTACTTGGGAGGCTGAGACAGGAGAAGCACTTGAACCTGGGAGGCGGAGGTTGCAGTGAGCCAAGATTGTGCCACTGCACTCCAGCCTGGGCAACAGAGTGAGACTCTGTTTCAAAAAAAAAAAACCAACATAAACAGACAAAAAGCATATGGATGAAATCAGAACACTGTGGGAATTCTTTATGATCATGGGTTGGTTTTTACCTGAATTACAGCTGGACAGTGGGCACCATAATCTTTCCCAGGCTAAGGCATCTAAGGATCTCTGTTGTTGTTGTTGTTTTTGCATGGATCTGCTCTGTCGCCCAGGCTGGAGTGCAGTGGCACAATCCTAGCTCGCTGCAGCCTCCACCACACAAACTCAAGCCATCCTCTCGCCTCAGACTCCCAAATGGCTAGAACTACAGATGCATGCCAGCACGCCCAGCTAATTTTTATATTTTTTGTAGAGATGGGATTTCACCACCTTGCCCAGGCTGATCTCCAATTCCTGGGTTCAAGTGATCTGCCTGCCTTGGCCTCCCAAAGTGCTGGGATTACAGGTGTGTGCCACCACGCCTGGCCTTGAATGCCTTAATTCACTTCGGGCTTGGGCCAGCATCTCTGGTGTGGCTTTCTGCCTCCGCCAATGGCACTCGCCTTTGCTCTGCCTGCAGTTGGCTTCCCAAATCATCATCTCCCCTGTGTAAACCCACTCATCCTTCCAGGCCTAGGCTTCCTAGATGTCCTGTGGATGTCCCTCCCACCCTTGCATCTGCATCTTCCTACCCTGTGCCATGGTGGTCGATGGCTGGGAATGTTGGGGGAACAGCTGGTTTGACAGAGACATCTCTGGGGCCTGTGGGCATATGGACCCATAAGCCAGAGGGAGAGCTCTGCAATGAACCTGAGACCCTTTCTGGGGTTGCTGTGGCTGGGGAGCGTCCTCCTCTCTTGCCCCTTCCCTCCCTCTCATCCTGGTCCAGATGTGGGATTGCACACATGGGGAAACTGAGGCCACAGTGGGCATGACCCCTAGCTATAAAACCACATAGCAGGTCTGGTTCCAAAGTTGGGCCCATCTGCTGGCATCTTCTATTATGCCTTAGTGTAGATTGGGAAGGGCCAGGAAACCTTCCTCTTCCTTCCCAGTGCACCCACATGGCCAGCTTTGTTCATCCTCCATGTGTGGGTAAACATCTTGTGCAGGACCAGAACATATGTGTGTGGTGGGGGGGGCCAAGTTCTCCATCTATCTGCCCTGCATGGAGCTTTCTGTACGACATGGCCCGATGTCCATGGGGGAGGGGGTTGAGAAAGAATGAGGAGACAGCGCCTGGAGGCTGAGGGGTGTTTGGAGAATAGTAGCCTTGAACATGGGCACCATCTGGAAGTGAGTGAGCAGCGCTTATGTTGAGGGGGGCCCCTTCCACCTCCTTTGGGTCCCTTTATTCCTGGGGATGTTGCCCCAGGGAGGTTTCCTGGGTAACTCCCTTTCCCTCCTCTGTAGAACAGGCTGGACCACAGCTTGCCAGGGGCCTATGGCCTGGGGAAGGCATGCTTTGAGCATGAGGTCCGGTCCCCTAGGGTGGGAAGGTGGGGCCGAGAGGGATCAGATCCTCCAGCCCTGAAAGGCAGCAGCCCCGGGGGAAAGGGCGACAGCTGTGGTGCGGGCCAGGAACCCGACACCAGGAGTGGGCCCCAAACACACTCCAGAAAGGGCGGGGGGGGGGGGGCGGGTGCCCTGGGAGCAGCAGCAGCAGGCACAGATGCTCTGGGGTGGGCCCACTGGTCCCTCTCAGCCTCTCTGCCATGTGGGTGTCACGCTCCCCTTGTTGTCTCTGATGAAGGGGAGAAATAGCACTACAATCCCAGCTTGAGGCAACCATGAGGAAATTCTTCCTTTAGGTTTCCTTGGTCTAGAACGATCTTCTGAGTGTACCCCCCAGGAGGCCACACGCCAAGCCTGCCCCTTCCCCAGGTCTTTCGGAAGGTGTTCTAGGTTCCAGAAGTGAGGTAAACCAGGGGGAGCCCTCCCTGGCTTTGCAGTAAGGGCTCTAGGCTTGAGCAGGGCTCGACCAGGGGCTGTGTGACTTTGGATAGGCTAACTGACGTCTCTGAGCCCTGTCTACTCGTTGGTAACCTGAGCTTGGCCTGGGTGAGTTGATGCTGCAGGACAGGTCGGTTCTCAATCCAGCTCCCCGTCAGGGCTTGAGGAGGCAGTTAGCCCTCACTGTCCTGTGTCCCCAACCCTCCTGAGTATCAGAACGCCCGGGCCCCACCACAGGCTCCAAGCATAAAACCCTAGCACCGACATTTTTAAAAAGCTACTCAGCTGATTTTTTCTGTGTGTGGAGTTTCAGTCTTGTTTCCAGGCTGGAGTGCAATGGCGCAATCTGGGCTCACTACAACCTCCACCTTCCAGGTTCAAGCGATTCTCCTGCCTCAGCCTCCCGAGTAGCTGGGATTACAGGCACTTGCCATCAAGCCTGGCTAATTTTTTGTATTTTTAGTAGAGACAGGGTTTCACCATGTTGGCCAGGCTCATCTCGAACTCTTGGCCTCAAGTGATGTATCCACCTCGGCCTCCCAAAGTGCTGGCCACTGCGCCTGACCTACTCAGGTGATTCTAAGGTGCAGTCAGGTAGGATCAAGAGGTTACATAGTGCTGGGTCAAATGCAAAGTACCACCCACCCCTCTCCCCAGGAGGGGAGGGAAAGAGCACAGGCACCCAGCTCTGAGCAGAGCTTCTTCTCTGCCTGGGGTTGGGGGAATGTGGGGAGATGCAGGAGAGGAAGAGAAGCGGAGAGGAGGAAGAGAGGGAAGAAGAAAAGCAGAGAAGTGGGGAGAAAGGAGGAAGAAGGGAAGGAGAGAATGGGGAAGGAGGAAAAGGAGGATGAGGGAGAAGAGAGGAGGAAGGAGAGGCAGGAAGAGGAAAGCAGGGAGGCAGGGGAGGGGGAGGGAAGGGGGGAGGGTAGAGGTGGGCTGCTATTTATCCAGCAGCCCCTGTGCCCATTGCCTGATTCTTTTTCGAGTGTTGTTGCTGAAGAGGGAATTTGAGTTGCAAGGCTAAGGGCAGAGGGACCGCTGGGTCAGAACTCCCCTGCAGCCTCGGGGCTTTCGCAGGCATCAGGGCCTGCCAGTGATGTTTCCTTCTTAAGAGGGCTGCTCACTGCTGTCAGTGGCACTTGCCTCTGTGCCAGGCTCCAGGCTTGGCACCGGTTTACCTGCTTTAGCCCTCCCAGGAGCCCCATGGGACTGGACCCCTCAGCATCCCGATGACCAACTTAGTGGGACCCCCCAGTCTGCCCTCATGCCACGATCACACTTCATGAACAGTTTGGTGAAAGGGCCTCAGGAGACGAAAAATGTTTAGCAAAAATAAGAAAGGCAGTCAAGCCCCAGTGCAGGGTATTCACGGAAACGTGGGGCCCTCAGGCCAGCCAGGAGCCCATGTGGACAGGAAGGAGAGGACCCCTGAGTGTCCCCTCCCCGAGGCTGCACAGGCAGTGCAGTGTACGGAATCAAAAGCCTGGTGCATCGACTCCTCGAATTCACACCTGTGGGTAACAGCGGGGGCTAGGGACCAGCCAGGGCCACCACAGGGGCTGTCCTTGGTCTCCAGTGATGGGCAAAGCTTCCTCTCCAGCCCGGACTGGAGCCTCAGATCAGAGCCAGGAGGTTCCAGAGCAGTGTCCCCTAATCCTGGGTGGTTTTCCAGAGAGGCAGCTTCTGTGTGAGAACCCCCCCACGCCCAATCCTTCACACCAAAGACAGCCAACGCAAGGCTAGACCAGCACAGACACAGGTTTTGCTGAGAAATGAGTTGCCTAAGTTACTGGCATGGCCTTGACCCCCTTCCTCAGGTAGAGACAGACTGAAGCCTCTGTTTGCTGAGGCGGGAACTGGAGGAGCCCGACGCTGGGCTGGGGCCACAGTGGGTGCTGTGATGAGCCAGTCCTGGCTTGGGCTGCCAGAGTCTCCACTGGCCACCTTCTCCCACCCTCTCAACCACCCATTTTTCAGAGGAGAGATGACCCTCCGTGCCCCAGCCTGTGAAGTGGGCAGTAGGTCACAAGTGGGGCACCAGACCCAGGGCTCTCTGCCCAACCCCCACACCAAGTTCCTGGTGGCAGCACACAGGGGGTTTTCCCTGGGATCCCCCCAAAATGGGCTGTGAGCAGAAAGGAGGGCAAAGGGGCTGGCTGGGTTCTGGAAACAGGCCTCAGTACACAGAGAGTGTCCTGGAATGCAAGCCCAGGCCGCACTGAAAAGGAGCTGCTGCCCAGAAAGACAAAACCCTAACATCTCAGGGAACCAGGCAGGGGCTGGCCCTACAGATGCACTCAGAATTGGCAGCCAGAGATGCCCTAGGCTGGAAGCCTGGCAGTGGCACACCCTGGCACCATGGGCCCATCCAGGAACAACTGGTAACTACGAACTGTTTCAGTTCCAAAGCTTATGAACTATTTCCACCATTTATATAGCTTTATATTGATATAACTTAGAGAATGTTCCAGGTTACCCTATAGAGGCAGTGCTCTTGCTTGTTTATATGCCCAAGTGCTCTGTGGACGAGGTGCAAAGGGGTGGCATCCCTGGGTAAGTAGGTGCCTATGAAGAAGCAGCCCAATCAATGGCTTCGCAGCACACAATGTCCCAGTGGGGAGACTGAGGCCTAGGGAGGGGAAGGCATGTGTCCAGGGTCCCATGGTGATGAGACACCCAGGGCTGGGTCACTGGTCTGGGCCCGACCTCCAGTGAGTCTGCCAGCCAAGGGTGAGGAAGGCTCTGGGGAGGGGAGGTGGCCAAGTCAGGCCTCTCCCTCCCCCTCGTCCTCGCTGGCGCAGCCCTCAGCCACGGCTCTGCCCTGGAATGTCTGCCTCTCCAGGTACTCAGCCTTAAGCTGCTCCAGCTCCTGCAGCTCAGCCTCCAGCCGCTCCCGGTGGATGATCCGCAACTGCCGCAGCTGTTTCATGCGGAAGGGGTTCATGTCGTTGAAGGCGATGTTCATCAGCTTCCTGGGAGGAGGGCACAATCAGCCCAGAGCACATTGCCCCACCTGGCCAGTGTTTACCAGGCTTTCCCAGACAGACATCCCCACATTACTTCCGCCCCTGTGGCTGAGCCCTGGCCCCCGCCCTGAGGAGGAAACAATGAATAAGGTGATTTCCACCCACAGAGATATGTACTGAGACAGCAGGAAGATCAGAAAAAAGAGACCTAACCCAGCAGGGAAGGGCTGATCGGGGAAGGCTTCTTGGAGGAGGTGACATGTGAGCTCAGTTTTAAAGAATGAATAAAAGGTGACCAGGCAAAGAAGATAGTGGTGGTGGAAGTGGCAAGGAATTATTCTAAGAAGAAGAAACTGCAGAAGAAGAAGAAAGAAAAGCCTGGAGGTGGGGTTGTTCTAGGAACTCAAATAATTCTCTTTTCCAGGATCACAGGCCATGGGTGTTCAGGGTAGGGCAAGGTGGGCAAAAGATGAAACTGCATGGAGGCCTCAAATGCCATGTTAAGGGGGCAGACAGATCACTCAGTTGGACTTCCCTGAATATTTCTAAGCTGTGACAGGAGCACCGGCGTCACTTACCAATCTCTACTTGGCAAATACCAGCCTCCCCTCTGCTATGTGTCCTGAGGGTGCGTGCGTGGTGGGAGTGGCAGAGGGGTGGGGGTCCTCACCGGCTGTTGGAGATGGTCTTGGTGAAGAAGCGCAGGTACTGGTAGATCTCCAGGCTATTCTGCAGCCTCAAGATCTCCTTCTCGTTGTACTTGAAAATGGCCAAGGCATAGCGAAACAACACCTGGGGGTACAGTGGGGACTCAGGTGGGGCAGGGGGGGCCAGGCAGGTCATCCCTGGAGGGAGGGAACCTGACAGACCCAGGCAGTATGGAACAGCCTGGACTGGCTGCAGATATTGAGGTCTGGAGGCACAATGTATGGGGGAGGGGGAGGGCTACAGGGGGGGAGAGGGGGAGGGAGACTGAATACCCCAGGGGCACCCAGTTTGAAATCTGGGGATTTGGACAGAGTCCTGGCTCTAGCCTGTCTTGACCCATGACTGTGGGTGAGGCATGGCTCCTGTTGAATCTCATGGGGTTAATCTGTATCTTTACATGGGGCTTTGGCAGGAACCAAATGAAATGACAGGCTGGGCATGGTGGCTCATTCCTATAATCCCAGCACTTGCGAGGCTGATCCGGGTGGATCACCTGAGGTCAGGGGTTTGAGACCAGCCTGGCCAATATATTGAAACCCTGCCTCTACTAAAAATAGAAAACTTAGCCAGGTGTGGTGGCACATGCCTGTAATCCCAGCTACTCAGGAGGCTGAGGCAGAATTGCTTGAACCTGGGAGGTGGAGTTTGCAGTGAGCCGAGATCACACCAGTGCACTCCAGCCTGGGCGACACAGCAAAACTCCATCTCAAAAAATTAAAAAAAAAAAAAATGAGGCAGCCGGGCGGGCGCGGTGGCTCAAGCCTGTAATCCCAGCACTTTGGGAGGCCGAGGCGGGTGGATCACCAGGTCAAGAGATTGAGACCATCCTGGTCAACATGGTGAAACCCCGTCTCTACTAAAAATACAAAAAATTAGCTGGGCATGGTGGTGCGTGCCTGTAATCCCAGCTACTCAGGAGGCTGAGGCAGGAGAATTGCCTGAACCCAGGAGGCGGAGGTTGCGGTGAGCCAAGATCGCACCATTGCACTCCAGCCTGGGGGAAAAAAGGAGAAAACCTCGTCTTAAAAAAAAAAAAAAAAAAATGAGATGAGAAACCTGAGGGTGCATTGTAGACTGAGGTATAAATTGGGGCTGAGTTGGGAGACTTGCCCAGATCTCTGGGCAAGGTCAGGACAGAGCGGGGTCCAGACCTGAGCTCCAGTCTCTTTCTCCAAGGCTTACTCCAAACAGGAGGAAGAAAAAGAGGGCTCAGGTGACTGGGGGGCAAGGACAGAATAGGGATGTGCCTCTCTGATCATGCTCATGCCTCCTCTCCATGGAAAGGAGATCCCCCAACTTTGGGATACACCTTCAGAGGCAGAACCGCTACTTCCTCTCATATATGCAAAGCACTTTACAGCTGACAAAGCCACACTGTCAGATGTCCTCAACAGCCCTGACAAGTAAGCACCGTCTTCCCATTCTCCAGGGGCAGAGCCAAGACCCAGATGGGGAAGGGACTGGCTTAGGGGCCCCCTGCCCATCCCCTAGCAGCACCCTACCTTGGTCCCCTCGTACAGGAAGGCATCCCAGACCTGAAGGAGGATGTTGCTAATGAGACTGTCTGCGAAGACCACGAGGAACCAGTTGAAGGTGATGAGGGAGAGATCCACGTGGTGCTGCCCCAGGTGGGCCATCAGCCTGGGCAGCTTCTCTGAGAGCAGGTCCTGGAGCACCCGCTGGTCCACCTGGAAGCCAGCGAGAGAGCCTGTCACCTGCAGCCCCAGGGAAGGGCTGCCTCCTTCCCTGCCCAGCCTTCCTACCCAGTCAGTCCACACACAGTCCTGAGGTCGCTCTGGGCAGGCCCTTCCCTGCCCAGGAGACACCTCAGGGAGCCGGAGCCCAGCCTCGCTGGGACTCAGGTACAGCTCATATCCCTCTGCTGCTCCTGACACAGGCCGGAGTCCTCTGTACTGGGGCACTGGGCTTTGCAGTGGAGCCATGTGGGCTGGCATATCCTTGTCTCCCTCACCCACCTGAATCCCTTGAGCCAAGTAGGAGCTCAGGGGCCAGCTGATCCTCCTGGCAGTTCAGAGACACTGGTCTCATACCCTGGTGAAATGGAAGCTTTGTCTCTACGCTTACATCAGCTGACACCCACAGCCCCTTTTCAACACCCAATTTGTGCCTGACACCTAAGAGGCTAGGTGGATGTCTGGTCCTGGGACAGGTGTGTATGTGGGAGGTTATAATGTCCTGCCTCGCTGGACATCAAGGAATCTTCTCAAAGCAGGATGCTCCTGGTGACAGAGGCCAGTGACCTCTCCTTGTGGCCATTGTCATGGCTCCATCCTTGTTTCACTGGATGGGTTAACCACTCTCAGAACTGGCTCCCTCCCTGGCTCCAAGACACAGTTCTTTTGTGGTTCTCCTCCTCCCTCTGTGATGACCCCACTTTAGTTTTCCCTTGCTCTTCCTTCCTGGAAATGCTGGTTGCTCAGGCCTCTCCCCTCACTTAAGTCCTCTTTCAGTTGCCAGTAGCTCCCCTCTGCCCTCACCCAGAACCCTGGGTCATCTAAGGAGGCCAAGTGTCCAGTTCATAACCTAAGGTAACCCCCGAGTCTAAGATGCCGTTGCTACTGAAGGGTTTAGGGATGAACTGATATGTTGCAGGAGGAGTGGATGGGAGTTCAGAAGAAACACTAGCTCTCTGGCTTGATAACTGAAGCCAGGTGATGGACACATGGAGGTTCCTTATACTATTCCCTCTATTGTTTTCAATGTGCAGAATTTTCCATAATAAGAAAAAAAGTGGTCATATAACACAGGTCAATTTGGGAGATGTTAAGATGTAAAAATTAAATACAAACATTTCCTAGCCTGCCTCGCAACTAGGGCAGCCATGAAATTCAGTCTGACCAGTAAACAGCAAGTAGAAATAGCTGGGTGGGGGAGCCAGCTCCTGGTGTTCACATTCTGCTTCTCCTGGCCTAGGCCATGGCCACGGTACTGGACGCGATGCAGCCATTCTGTGACCAGGAGGTAATGGGTGTGAGGATGAAGCCCATATCCCAGAGATGACAGAGCAGGGAGCTAGGGGCCTGAACCCCATGGTACTGCCTGGTCATTCATTATCTGAGAAAAATCATCCCCCGCTGAAGCTGCTGTTAGGTTGGGCTTCCCTTCTGTGCAGCCAAATGCAATTCCATAGTGCAGAGGGAGAAATTGAAGGCTGAGAGATTCCCACCTTTTCTGAGAGCCACAAGCTTCTAGGAAGGGCTCTGGGGCCCTGCCTGCCTCACTTACCTGGGATGCTGTCAGCGTGTTGCAGTAGTAATCAGCCGGCATGATGGTCTCCACAATGGCCACCAGGCACCAGAAGGCACTCTCCTCCTCCTCTAGGACCAGCAGAGCGATGGCCGCTAGCCTGGAGTGGTAGGGAAGGAGGCCTAGAGTGATTACAGAAGTCGTGGCTCTGCCAGGCAGCACATGGCAGAGGTGGCTTCCTGGGTTCTAGGGGGAAAGTCCTTCCATATGAGCACCAGTGCAACCCCAATCCCTAACTAGATTGGTGTTCCCAGCACCTGGGGTGAGACAAATGCTCTTTTGGGGAAATGACTGGCGATTTCCAGAGGAATGGGGATCACTTCAGAGCACGGGCTCTGGAGTCAGGTTGCTTGGGTGAATCCTGATCTTGCAGCCTCCCGGGTGACTTTGGGCAAGTTACTGAACCAGTCTAAGCCTCAGTCTCGTAATAAATCCCAGACCATTTTGAGGATGAACAGAGCTCATTCAGTGCCCCACACGGTGCCTGCCACACAGAGAGCTCTTAATAATAAAGTTAGCTATCCTCACCTTAATATTCACAGGCTTTGAGATCTTGACAAGTACACTAACCTCTTTGGCCCTCAGTTTCCTGATGTATAAAGTGAGATTAACAATATCTGCCGGGCGCGGTAGCTCACGCCTGTAATCCCAGCACTTTGGGAGGCCGAGGCGGGTGGATCACGAGGTCAAGAGATTGAGACCATCTTGGTCAAAATGGTGAAACCCCGTCTCTACTAAAAATACAAAAAATTAGCTGGGCATGGTGGCGCGTGCCTGTAATCCCAGCTACTCAGGAGGCTGAGGCAGGAGAATTGCCTGAACCCAGGAGGCGGCAA